CCGGGCCTCGGAGGTGGCAGCCCGGCTCCCGGGTGCGGCGCTTCATTCATTCGCTCGCTCTTGTCGCCGCGGGTCCTGCTCGGTGCCGCGGCGGGGAAGAAGTGAGGCCGGCGCGGACCCGGGGTTCGAGCGAGCCCGCTTCCCGCCTCCCTGCCCGGTCTCTAAGCCAGCACACCACGCTAGCCCGCTCGCGACTCGGGACCCTTAGGACCGGAGGGGTGGCTCAAGCAGTAGAGCCCCGGCCAAGCAAGCATGGTAACCAGATTTCAAACTCCAGTGCTGCTCCCTCTCCCACCCCCCACAAAAACAGCGCAGATGATAACAAATCTGCCTCCTGAGAGTGTTGAGGATAAACTGAGGTCATAGGTGGAAAATGCCCACAACACTTAGGGCTTGCCTAGTGAAGGCTGTGTAAGTGTTGCTGTTGCCACTGTTGCCAACTTAAATGATCAATACCACCACTACCACCCAGGGCAGGAGACATAAAGGTCCCCACTGGGCTAAAAGGACTGTCCAGGCTCTGGAAACAAAAACTAGATAGATCTCGCTCAATCTCTAGGTGAATGCAGAGACTTCTGTTCCCTAGAAGACTGATGCCTAAAGAATGCTTAGCTGGATGCAGGTGGCTCATGCCGTAATCCTACTTACTGAAGAAGCTGAAATCTGAGGATTGAGGCTACAAGCCAGAGCAAGAAAGTCAGTGAGACTTTTTTTTTGGTCGTCTCTTTGTGGGACTTGAACTCTGCTCGTCCCTGAGCTAGTTTTGCTCCAGGTTAGTGTTCTACCACTTAGAGCCACAGCTCCACTTCCAGTTTTCTGGTGGTTAATTGGACATAAAAGGCTCACAGCCTTTCCTGCCCAGGCTGGTTTGGAATCTCAATCCTCAGATCTCAGCCTCCAGAGTAGCTAGGATTATGGGTGTGAGCCACCAGCACCAGGCTAGTTCAGCTTTGTGATGTTTGCGGATCGACATTGTACCTTGTCCTTCATCAGGCTTGAGTTCCAGTGTTGGGACTGAGACTGAGTTTTTCTCCTTGTGTCCCCTGTGTGGCAAGTTGTCTGTCATGCAGCAGGCCAATGATAATCCAGTCTAGCATGTATTGAGCATTTAACTTTGTGCCAGATACTCTGCATTTGCCTGTGAATGAAAAAGCTCTTAGGAAGCCAAGCAGGACCCTTGCAAAGTTCTCACCAGAGTTTTTACTTGGGTATCTTTGATTCAGGTAATGAGCTGGAGGAAGGGAGCCAAGCTGGAGTTTCTGCAGACAAACTGTCAGAGAAGAATAGCCCGGGTGATTTGGAAGTCTGAGGTATGTCTGTAACACTTAAGAGTGGAACATTGAAGTGAGTTTTGTCATCCTCTAGACTAGTAGCATTCCAGTAACCTTTTCTTCTCCTCCTCCTCCTCCCCTCACTTGTCTTCTTCCACCCTCTTTTTCAGTATTGAGCATTGAACTAAGTCACACTAGTTAAAAAGCACTCTGACACTTGAGCCCTAGCCCTTCTGCATTTTAGTTTGTTTTTTCAGAGAGACTCTCTAACTTTGCCCAGGCTGTCCTACCTCTACTTCCCAAGTAGCTAGAAGTATAGGCATACACCACCATGCTTGGCTTCTTTTTGAGATAGGTGTCACTAAAGTTTGCCTGGGCTGACCTCCTGTCTATGCCTCTGGAATGGAAAGGATTATAGGCTTGGGATTACACCCAGCCTCAAATAATCCTTTCAAGTTAGCTTTTTCTTTAAAATCACTAATGACAGGCTTGGAATGTGGCTTAGTGGTAGAGTGCTTGCCTGGCATGCATGAAGCCCTGGGTTCGATTCCTCAGTACCACATACACAGAAAAAGCCATAAGTGTAGAGTACAAAGCCTTGAGCAAAAAAGATGCTCCGGGACAATGCCCCGGCCCTGAGTTCAAGCTCCAGGACTGGGGGTTTGGGGGTGGAGGGGGCAGGGGGGAGGGAGAATCACTAATGACGTCCTCATTACAATTTGATTGGGAGATTGTTGATACTACTTGGTACTACTTCTACCTCCTCCCCACACAGTGGATTATTTACTGTGCCTGCTTACATCTCTTCGTTTGGTGCAATCTGAAATGCTCTAACCAGCTGGGGGCTAGGGGTTCAGGCTTAAAATCCTAGGTATCAGGATGCTCAGATCTTAGGATCATGGTTCAAAACCAACCCAGACAAGAAAGTCTATCAGATTCTTAGTGAGACTCATCCCAGAAAACCAGAAGTGGAGCTGTAGCTTAAAGTGGTAGAGCGCTAGCCTTGAGCACTTAAAACCTCAGGGACAGCACCCAGGCCCCTGAGTTCAAGCCCCATAACTGACAAAAATAAATAAAATGCTCTAACCAGGATGGGGTATAGCTCAGTGATAGAACTCGTGTGTGTGTGTGTGTGTGTGTGTGTGTGTGTGTATGTGTACACATGTACGTGTGTACGTGTATGTGTGTACATATACCTGTACTTGGGTTTGAACTAAGGGCCTGACATTCCCCTTAGCTTTTTTTGCTCTGGTCTGGTGCTCTACTGCATGAGCCACAGTTTCACTTCCAGCTCTTTGTTGGTTAATTGGAGATAAGAACCAGCCAGGTCTGGCTTTGAACCTCAATTCTCAAATCTCAGTCTCCTCAGTAGGCAAGATTACAGGCACAAGCCATGGTTCAGTAGTAGAGCTCTTGTACAAGGCCCTCAGTTTGATCCCCAGAACTGCAAATAAATTAAATAAAATGCTCCAATAAGCAGTCACAAATATTATAGCTGAAGTAAAATAGTAGTTTTATTCGCCCTCCTCTAACAGTCTAGAAGTATACAGTCCAATACTGGTAAAGCAGGTCACTTTACCATGAGGCCTAGCTGGAAACAGTACTTCTTTAATCACATGGCTCTTGCTCAAACCCAGGCATCCATTTCATGGTCCAAGATGGCTGTTCCAGGTCCTGCCATCATGTATGAATTCCATGTGGCAAAAAAGGGAAAGATAGTAGGGAGTACATGCTCATTCCTTTTAAGGTTTGAAAGTTTAAAGAGACATATTTTTGTATTGCGTGGTCACCAAACATAAGCTAGTTATTGCCTCTGGTATGTACCCAGAAAATGAGTCATGTCTCTTCAGTGCTGGAAGAAAAACCAGCTGAGAGATGGGATCACTGAGGTGGGCTGGACCTGGCGGGAAGTCCACTGAACTGGTAAGGGAGGGAGGGAATATGGGTGGATGGACGGATGGACATACAGATTCACTCACTCAGTGTCACCTGCTTACTCGCGGCCAGGCTTCTATCTCTGCATGTCAGGCTGCTGTGGCTTTTAGCAGGTTTACGATGCTTGGATTAGAGGGCTCAGGCTTGTTCATACATGTAGTGTGGACTGTGTCTGCTATGTGTCACACGAGGCTTTGTCAGGAGCACAGTCCTGCATAAGATTGGGTCCCAGGAGCAAGGTGCTCCTAGCCACATGGATAACCACATGCCATGCAGAAACACCATCAAGGCTAAGAGTGTGAGGCCACGGGAGCCTGACCAGCTGATACTGCAGTAGTCCTGGGTGCTTGGAAAAGACCAGGTGGCCCGTTCCAAACAGTCAGAGAATCTTCAGTTTATACTTCAACCAACAAACACGTTCTGTCTGTGTCACATACTGAAAACAATTGTTAAATTTTCACTGCACTGATGAGAATAATTCATATTGGGGTTTTTTTGTGTTTTTGTTTTTTGTGCCAGTCTTGGGGCTTGAACTCAGGGCTTGGGCACTGACCCTGATCTTTTCTTTTTTTCCTCAAACTTTGTGTGTCAAGGTGACCTGGTATTGGGTGTTGTTCCTCGCAGCAGGGAGCTCCAACCCTTAAAACCTAAAGGTCTAGGTGTGTTTTGACACAGACACATTGCTCTGAAAATTGTAGCGATCAACCCAAGAGTAAAACTGTTGGTATGTGGTGATCTGAGCATATGGGGCATGTGTGTGTGTGGCATGTCAGCATGTGCTTGGCACGATCCCAGTGAGTATCTGTAGCAAGCTTAACCATCCCAGGGCCATTAAAGCTGACCTCGATCCTGTCATTGGCCTTGACATGGGAAAAACCAGGGCTTACTCTTGTTCTGCATGGGAAACAAACGTGGTTCTCAAGCTTAGTAAGGAAGCAGCAAAGTGCAAGGTGAGAGTTGGGAATCTCTTTTTCCATCCAGATCACAACAGGGACAGAGACCCCGCCGTGGGAATCCAGCAGACAGGGAGACAGGCCAAACAGCTGTCCTGGGGGGCTCATGGTCACATTCGGCATATGCCAGCTTCTGGTCCTGAAAGGTCTGGGGGTAGAGTCTACTTCCTGTGCTAGAACTGTCAGTAAGGGTCATTGTTCTGTCCTAGGTGAAGGCTCCGCTCCAGGCTTACTGCCCGGCCTGGGGGGAGCTGGGTCTCACTAGCTCAGAAGGCAGAGAGCAGAGGGGACACTGCAGTGGGCCTTTCCAGTCCCCTGTTGCTCCATAAGCTGCCCTTGCTCTCCAGTTTCCATGCAGAATAATCTTCAGAAGGAAGAACAAGCAGACATGCCCCCCATTTCCCCACCACCCAGCTTATAAAAATGCTACCCTGACCTGCAGGCTATCCATCACCCTGCCATCATGAGCTTTCCTTCACCTGTCCTTCTCTTTCTTTCCTTGGAGTAGTTTTACTACAGCTGTGTTGCTAAACTGTGTGTCTTTAATTTTGTATACTTTGTGTGTGTGTGTTTGAACTGTTGTTTGAACTAGAGGCCTTGATGTTACTCCTTAATCAAGGCTGATGCTTTACCACTTGAGCCACACCTCCACTTCCAGCTTTTTCCTGGTTAATTGGAAATAAGAGTCTCATGGATCTTCCTGTCTGGGCTGGCTTTCAACAGTGATCCTCATATCTCAGCTTCCTGAGTAACTGAGATTATAGGCCTAAGCCACCTGTGTCCAGCTCTGGCTGTAGTTTTTGAACTTAATATAAATGTAATACTGTGTTCTGCAGTGACTTAGATTTTTTGCTTAATGTATGTTCTTGAGCTAGTCCACATCTGCTTCATTTTCACTGATAGAAATGTCCCTATCATCTTGGTGGCCATTTGAATTGTTTGCAGACTATGCTGCCATACTGGGGTGCATATGTGGTTTCAGGGTACATACCTGGGGTGAACTGAGTCACAGGGTATCTGACCAAATGCACATTGTTTCAAAAGTTGTTTTGTGAGATTATACATCAGCCAACAAACAATTCTGTCTGTGTCACATACTGAAAAGTTATTAAAATTTTTACTGCATTGATGAGAGTAGCTTATATTGGTTTTTTTTAACTCATTTTTGTTTTTCGTGGGACTTGAACTCAGGACCTGGGCCCTGACCCTGAGCTTTTCTTTTTTTCCTCAAGGCTAGCACTCTACCACTTGAGTCACAGCTCTACTTCTGGCGTTTAGGTGGTTGAATGAGGATAAAAGTCTCCTGGACTTTCCTGCCCGGGCTGGCTTTAAATCACAATGCTCAGATCTGAGCATTCTGAGTAGCTAGGGTTACAGGTGTGAGCCACTGACACTAGGCTTTTGTTGGTTTTTTATTTTGGAGACTGACTTTTGTACAGAATATATGGCAACTATTTCCAACTTTTGGTCTATTCCTTTAGAGTTTTAGGCTTTAAAAAAGAAATGATCGTTTTTTAAAAAAGTGTATTGTTATTTTAAAGATGATATACAGAGGGATTACAGTTATATGAGTCAGGTTATGAGTCAGGTTATGAGTATATTTCCTTTTATATAATGTCTTCCCTTCCCTCACTTTCTCCCAGTTCCTCCACCCATGAGTTATATAGTTCACTTTCATCACTGCCCAATGAGCACTGGTGTTGCACTTTTTCGGTCAATTTCTGTACCCTCCTCCCCACCCTCCAGGAATTCTAAATTTTTTTGTGCCTGTCATGGGGCTTGGACTCAGGGCCTGGGCGCTGTCTCTGAGCTTCTTTTGCTCAAGGCTGGCACTCTATCACTTGAGCCACAGCACCACTTTAGGCCACATTCCCAGCCCCAGGAATTCTAAGTTTTAATTTAATTTATCAATTATTTTTATTTTATAAGTGGCACCTTAAGAACTTCTTCCCAGAGCTGGGAAGGTGTCTCAGTGGTAGATTGCTTGCCTAGCATACATGAAGCCCTGGGTTTGGTTCCTCAGCACCACATAAACAGAAAAAAGCTGGAAGTGGTGCTGTGGCTCAAAGGGTAGAGTGCAGTCGTGAGCAAAAGAAGTTCAGAACTTCTTCCCTATATGTATATGTATATTGTCTTGTGAACATTTTCTTA